CCTTATGACTATAGTTACTGAAATACATACAGTAGCTATTTTAGTTTTAAAATTATGAATAGTAGCAACTAAACCTTATGACTATAGTTACTGAAATACATACAGCAGCTATTTGTTTTAAAATTATGAATAGTAGCAACTAAACCTTATGACTATAGTTACTGAAATACATACAGTAGCTATTTTAGTTTTAAAATTTTGAATAGTAGCAACTAAACCTTATGACTATAGTTACTGAAATACATACAGTAGCTATTTTAGTTTAAAAATTTTGAATAGTAGCAACTAAACCTTATGACTATAGTTACTGAAATACGTACAGTAGGTATTTTAGTTTTAAAATTTTGAGTTGTAGCAACTAAACCTTATGACTATAGTTACTGAAATACATACAGTAGCTATTTTAGTTTTAAAATTTTGAATAGTAGCAACTAAACCTTATGACTATAGTTACTGAAATACATACAGTAGCTATTTTAGTTTTAAGATTTTGAATAGTAGCAACTAAACATTATCACTACAGTTACTGAAATTTGTACAGTAGCTATTTTAGTTTACAAATTTTGAATAGTAGCAACTAAATCTTATGACTGTTGTTACTGAAATACATACATGTGTCTGTAGTTACTTTAGCTAACAAATTTTGACTAATCTTTTTCTAATCTCACTTTCTTGACAATATTATGTTATTTCTTATAGTAAACTGAAAATATGGTGGTTACAAGATCGGTCAAATTTACCAAACTTGTACAGAGAGTAATTACTGAAAACAACAGATAAAATATAAAGTTTTTTCTTATGAAACATTTGATAACTACCTGGACATTATAAAGATTTTGCATGTGAATCTTGAAAATGTTCTTATGCATACAAGTATTTTTAATCTTAAAATGAAAATTATTTTGCATGATAGATAGGCAAGACATGAAAATAAAAAAAGGCATGAGAAAAACATTGCTTTACAAACCTTATGACTTAATAAAAAAAAAATTATATTTTGCGTATGAAAGCATGGTAGTGTTTACTGATAAACTGCCAAATTTCGTTAATATATGCTTATTAATTTAAAAGTTATAGCATGAAAACTATAACAAGCACAAAATGGTCACAAAGTCGGTCCCAGAGTTAATAGAGACATCCAAAGTCTAAAAAAATTAAATTACTGTGCACAACTTTGCACGCACTCAAGATTCAACATGTTGCCCTTTCTTTCCTTCTAAAAATCCTGCCTAAATGTGTGAGTGTAAATACATATATTAATTTTAAAAGCACTGAAGTAAAGTATATAATTTTTCCAGTATTCTGGTTTTCTTCCTTGATAGTCCAGAAGTAAGATAAACTGATCAACTATTATGATTTATTTTTAGTTTCAGAGTAACTCAGTCTGTATAAGTTATGAAGTAGTACTTAAGGGAAAAAATTTTAATTCTCTGTTAGTGGACTTGCTAAACTGTGCAGATAGGTTTTCTTTATGGGAAGTTTACTTGAAACAGATCTCGTATAAAATTTCACTGATGTAGTTAGATACAGTCATAGTGTAATGAACAAAGCTTTAGGTGGGATTAAGTGATGATGGAATTAGATATACAACTTAAATAGATAATTATTAAAAACATAATAAATATTTTTTTTATTTCAGGATTTTAGTAAGTCTTTAAAAACGTTTAACTATGATTCTCCTAAATATGACAGTAAAGAACCATGTTTTAGTATTTTTTAGTTAGTTTTAGGCATATGGAGTAACTTATTAGGGTGTAAAGTTGTAAAAATGTCTCAAGGTAAAGCTGTAATGTGGAAGGAATTACATTCTCTATATAACCTCACATGTAAGGGTTGTGTTATTAGGACTAAAGAACGTTAGTTTCATCTTAGTTATCAATAGTGGATTTTAACACAGACAAGTGAACTAAGAATGACACTTTACCTTGATATTTAACAAGAAAACTAAAATATGTTATACCAGTAAGCTACCATTACAATAGGTTGTGTAAATTATGTGTTTGTTAGTACTTCATTTTAAATTTTATGTATGTTATATTGAAAAGCTTCTCCTGTTGGATTGGCAACCTTCCAATTTCATTTTTATGACATAGGCCGTTTATTTTACTGTCACCGTTAAAAGAAAACACTTTTTTTTCTGTTTACGGATTTTAAGATATATTTCAACATAAAGAGGACTGTTATCCTTCTCAGGATGATGGATCTTCCGTTGATGTTCACATTAACCTTGGACAGGTTTCCATGCAGTCTGAGGCCCAGCTTCGACTTACACAAGCAAATCGGATGGTCAGCCAGGCTAACCAGGCACTACAGGCTTTAGAGGTAGGTAAATTCCAACAATATGTAAATTAGATGGTTACCAAAGCTAACCAGGTATTACAGGCTTTAGAGGTAGGTAAATTCCAACAGTATGTAAATTAGATGGTTACCAAAGCTAACCAGGTATTACAGGCTTTAGAGATAGGTAAATTCCAACAGTATGTAAATTAGATGGTTACCAAAGCTAACCAGGTATTACAGGCTTTAGAGGGGTACTAACAGTTTTAGTGTTCTCTTTATTTATACATATATATTTGATTTTCTTTTAATACCTCTTACTGCCAAATGTTGGGGGAGGGGAAGGTTGGAGGTGTTTTAGACCAGCGTTTCTCAACCTTTTCCATACCGGGGACAAACTTTCTGCCTCCCTACACTGTTGTGGATCAATAAAATACAAGAACAACAAAAAACCATTACAATTTGAATATGAATATTCTATCAGTACTTGTTTGTTTTCCTGAAATCCTGTGGACTGGCAAGGAGGTTGTGATGGACTGTTGGTTGAGAAACACAGTTTTAGACCATGTGGGAAATCATGAATCTTCTGTCAGTTTTATTTCTTATATATTATCTATCCATGTTTTTCTGTCAAGAAAAACAAATAAGAGGTCTATATAGTTTTAAAAGATTGTTTTTTAACAATCTGTTGACTAATTTGCATGATAACTTAAATATTTTGGTTTTGATGTTGGTTTTAGGGTAAAATTTTCTTCAAGTGATCTGTAGTGACACAGAATGTCAACTCCTGTCTGGATTATTTTCTATTTGACACATTTGTTTAACTTTCTAGATAAGACACAATTATTGCTTGCAAGTAAATTTAGTCTGTTTTATAATACTAGGAGATGAAAAGCACCATTCTATCAAAGCTATCAATGCAGATGTTAAGAAACAACAGTACCAGATAAATAACTGTTGTAAAGTAATCTGAATAAAGAAAATTGAGTAAGAAAGTAAAACTGAATTGATGGTGGCACTGAACCTAAATAAATAATAATTCTATTCAAGTATGAAATTGAAGAAGATAATAGCATCAATTTTTTAGACATATTAGTTAGAAAAGAAACAGAAGGTAACTTAGAAACAACAGTGTTTAGGAAAACATTTGCTACTGTTATGCTCCCACAAAAAAATCACTGCATTTTACACATATGTTAATAGAGCTTTAAAAATATGTTCAAGACAGGAAGATTTAAATAGTGAATTGTTATTAATTGAGTATATAACTACTGATAGAGGATTTGAACCAAATATAGTAGACAAAGCACTTAAGAAGTTTAACAAAGGTGTAAACGCGGTTAAAAATAGTACATTAAGATCTATTTATTAAAACAAACAAAAAAATGAACTTTAAGTTTACCTTATGTTCCAGGTTTAACAAATCAGTTATATAAAGTATTTAAAAAGCATCAGAATTTTTATCCTATCTTCAAACAATTGAATATGATAAAAAACATGATAGGGAATACTAAAGATGAAATTGAAGTAACAGATAAAACAGGTATTTACAAGATAGAATGTGGTGGTCAGACTAAAAGAAATTTAAAATACAGATTTCAAGAACATAAAGATTATAGAAAAATAAAATAGAAACTTCAGCTATAGCCTAACATGTAAAACTAACCAACTTACAATATTATGGGGAAAAAATTAAATTGTTGCTCAATCTCGTAGTATTATAGCATTATATATTAGAGAAACATTAGAAATAATGAAGTATAAAAAAACAACAAGAAGTATTAAATAAAGACGAAGGACTAGCAAGTCAATATGTTGATATGTGGAAGGACCAGCGAGTCAATATGGTGATATGTGGAAGGACCAGCGAGTCAATATGGTGATATGTGGAAGGACAAGCAAGTCAATATGTTGATATGTGGAAGGACCAGCAAGTCAATATGTTGATGTATGGAAGGACCAGCGAGTCAATATGTTGATATGTGGAAGGACCAGCAAGTCAATATGTTGATATGGAAGGACCAGCGAGTCAATATGTTGATATGTGGAAGGACCAGCAAGTCAATATGTTGATATGGAAGGACCAGCGAGTCAATATGTTGATATGTGGAAGGACCAGCAAGTCAATAT